CTATGCACCGCCGCTCTTACTAGCTTTCTTGAGTAATTTGGGTTGGTGGAGTCCGTGGCTCTCTCTCTCTCTCCATCGTGTAGTTCATGCAATTCCCCGTGTTTACTACAGATACAGAAATCTCATGCATGCATTTGCAGATTTCCTCATCCACTCAAAAATGCCTCTGCCCCACTCACCAACTACATGTATTAAGAAATGGATAGGCTACTATGGAGAATAATCCAGCTTAATTATTTGCTAAGTAGGTACTTATTCCATAACTAAAGCGCTAATCATTTGTCCCATTTTAAATTTATGAGTTCTTATCAAACTACATATTCTGCCCCCCACCCCCCACAAAAAAAAATAAAATACATATTTTAGAGAACAAAACTGAAAATACTAGGGTCACCAAGATTGGAATGTGCATCCCCAAACTATTTTAAAGGGAATTTATAAAACAAAGCCACGCGGACATGCAACCACCATCACTTGGCGCTTGTCTCTCTCTTTCTAAAATGCTAACAGATTGACACCTCTCGACCCAATATTGAAGACATCTCTCTCCTCTTTTAATATGGAATGCTTTACTTACCGTAATATGATGTGATTATTTACGGCAGAATTTTTTCTATTAAAATTTTAATTTTTACTACACCACCTAAGGTTTTCACTTGAGATCAGCTATAACTCAAATTTTTTCCTTCAAGCTTTCAAATTCATATCACTCTCCATTCCAGAAATAAACTCTAATCATCATTAATAAAGTGTCGAAAATGAGTCTCACATCGGGAATTATAATAAAATACAATATATAAGTGCATGGTTCCACTTCTAGTACCACCGATGCATTTTGCGATAAAACTCACACTTAGCAATGAGTGGTTAAATTGTTATAATGTTGAGGTTAGAAGTGGGCCAAGGACCTGTCTCTATGGCTTTGTTACATGATTAAAAAGTAGGTTGGTAGTGTTTTGAGTATGGAGGGTGCATGCATTTTATTTAAACTATAGTGGTGCTATCCACACACCTCTTTTTACCTCTCACACATTCATTGTTAATTTATGTTCTTTGATCATCTTCAATTTATTCAATCAGATGACTAAAAATTGAGAAGTGTGTGGAGTAGATAGCACTACCCCTAAACTATTTCACATTGGGGCAGGTTGGCAATAAATTTACTCATTAACATATGATATGTGCATTGGGGGCAGGTTTGATACTTATAAATAGAGATACATACAAAACGACTACCCGATAATTGCCAAATGAGCAATGTGTTGATGGCCAGGATTAATATTAGACCTAATTTTACGCGTGCTTAAGTGAACCAAATTCACATAGCTAGTAACTTATTGAGGATTGATTAGAGTTGGATTTGTTAAATTAATGAGTTGAAACCATGTAAAAGTTGTCAACAAAATCCACAGTAGCCATTCATGATGTGCATGGATAGTTTGAAGAGCTCTAATTTGTTGTTAAGCAATATAATCCATGCAGTCAAGATTTCTTGTAACGTAACTTAACTACATATTAAGACTAGGAAAACAAACAAACACAAAACATACACTATGTTGCCTGTAAGTTTCTCTCATTTTCTTTTCATGAGCTAAACTACGAATTGAACAAGGAAAGTGACCAATTCGATATCAATTAATTACAACATTTATTTTATTTTTCTCGAAAAAATTACTACGTTGATTTGTGTTGGAAATTAGTGATTACTTAGTTCACCAAGAAAAGGACTCCAGCTCAGGATTATTCAAGGTTCTAAAGCACACTCAGGAGCAACACCATAAAAGGCTACGAATTGCGAATATATAGGACATCATACTGGCCTACTTCTCACTTTAGTAAGGGAGGCAGATTAATTATAATAGACATGTTTAACAGCTATTCTTTTTCGGGGGCAGATGTTTAACAGCTAATCAGTTCCTCAAAGTAATATTATTGCATTCAATAGATATGTTTTAACTTAAATATAAAAAATAATTTAGTATAAAATGCGCTATTTATGAAAGAGAGATGCTAAGGACTCTCAAAATTGGGATGAAATTTACAAGTTGTATGATTAACTATATTTGCATGAGAAATACTAATAGAACTCTCTAAAAACTAAGATTCTTCGTTAACTCTTTGTTACATTATGATTTAGCACAATATTTTATAATATTGACATAGGAACTGAAAGTAGCAAAGAGTTTATAGCGAGCCCACTTTTGAGAGAGTCTCCTTAGCATTTCTTTATTTGCATTTCCAAGAGAGAAATGCTAAGACCATCTACAAAGAAAATGTCAAGTTATAAAAGTTAAATTACAATTGATGACTGATGTGGTAATTTGAAGTCTTATGTCAAATTTTGTACTTCTCCAACCACATAGTCAAATGTTATTTTATTATTTAAATAGAGCTTTAAATAGTTGTAATTATGAAAGAAATGTTGAATCAAAATTTTTATTGGTTGAAATGTTGGTGGAATAAGGGATCCACTATAAAAATAATTAAAAATAAATTTGAAATTGATGCCAAATTTGACTCCAAATTACAAAGCTTTCAAATCCAGTTAACAAATGACACTTCAGTTGGAGAGACTTTTGATGTCTAATATGCATAGTGGCATTCCACCTAAGATTTTAACATCTCATTTGGAAATGCTCTAAGGAAATTCTCTCAAAAGTAGGACTTTGTATAGACTCTCTGCCACATTTTTTCTACACAATATTTTATAATATTGGCACGAAAATTAACATTAAACTGTTAAGTGACAGAGAATGTCAAAGAATTCCATTTTAAGATAGTCTCTTTAACATTCTAAAAAATAAAACTTTTCATGAATTTTCTGTCATCGGAGCTTGTGATAGTACCAACGCAGGCTCCACACTCCCTGGACCTCTTGGGAGATTTTTCCATGCCAAATGTTGGACCATCAACTTGGAAAGTGTGGCCATACATGCACATAAGGGAGAGATTTTTCAGTGTCACCGTCACATGAGATGGCACACCACGTATCCCTATATAAATGATGGGTTATGCGTGTTAAAAGGTTAATAACTTAAAAATTAAAATTTTTCACCACTTGCATAAAAACACGTGATGTATCATTCATATTCTCGTCACAACTAAAATTTTCTCCACATAAGGTTTGGGTGTCAGAATCTTCAGTTGTTCATGTCTCAACCCATTTTACTCTTATCCATATCTCAAATTTAAAAAAAAATAAAAAAACCATGCAATCCCATTCCCTGTCTGTCGAAGACCATGGTCGCCAGTTTCTAATAATTAAACTTGGAAAGGAAAAAAATGCACGAATGAGGATGAGATAGAAGTTTTTGGATGCCAATATAATAGTATTAAAAATTGGTTGTAACTTAAAAGAAAATAGAGGTGATCCCTGTCCAGAGAGCATGGAGAAACTACAAGTCATACATTTGAATTTGAAACCAATAATTGCCAATGAGATAGGATCCTATATATTGATCAGTGTCCATTAGGTTCAAGTTCACTTTCAAGCACCTAATTGAAAAAAAAACCAAATTAAGCATTAAAAAATAATTGAGATCATACAAAGCCAAACCTATGCTGTAAAGTAAACACCCAAGTACAATTATTGGACTCTGAATTTCTTAACTGCATAACGTTGGTGGCCTTGTTTGGTTGGTTGTGTACATATCTATACCACTTTACTAATTGTCAAGTGATTTGATCATTTGATAACAGTTACTTATAAACATAGAGAATTTGAAAAAGTAACGTTAGGAAATTACATTTGGAAATCACATTGATGTATAATCTAATGTTGATGCATATAACCAACATATAATGAGATAGAGATTCATTAATTGATACTCTTAGGATTTTGCCCCTAGAAAGACTTAACCACCTTATAATTCAAATCATTTGAGTTCCCCCTATTTCTCAGGACCCCGTCGAGAAAAACTCAAGCCCCTCTTTGAGAATAACTCGAGTCTCGAGTGCTTGTCAAGTAAAGTTTTATTTTCAAAGTTATTATATTTTCGGAAAAGGATCCTTGTCGGATTTTTTTTTGGAGATTTTGGAAATTCCGTGATCGTGACCATTTATCATACATCATGCGATCATAAATCATTTGAAATTTAAAATTTAAAATTAAATATAAATAGTACATAACGAAAACTGAACGCATGATATACGATGTACGATTACAATCACAAGATCTCCAAAATTTCTAAAAAAAAAATATGACGAAGATCCTTTTCCATATTTTACTTGCTATTTTTTTTTACTCGAGAGATGTCGACGAGGGTTCGAGTTGAAATTAAAACCCTTGAATAATCCTTGAATGTTCATGACATGGAAAGTAGTGACTCAGATATCATTTTGCCAACTGTCAAATTCCTAATCAATGGTAAGCCCCCTCCTCCCTCCCGTCCCCAATACATGATTGATGGTCCCAGGGGAATTACGGAAACTTTATTCTCCCATACCACACCAAGTTGGCATCCACCACCAAATTTAAATCACACCAAAAGAGAGATGAGGTCCTACCTGGCTGCTATCACCCATAAATCCATCATTCATCCTGGAGACATTTATTAGCTAAGCCATAGCTAGCAATATATATCTCCCTCTGGACAAAAAATTTCAAAAAACTAGCAACACGGTCCGATATATTAAGTATTATAATATAATTAATAGAAGATTTTATTTATTTATCAAGTTTTCATTTAATTATATAATTACATCTAGCATACAAGATCGTATTTCTAGCATACTAAAAAATATCTTCTTCCACTCTTTCTCTTTCTCGTTTACAAACAACCAACCAAATTTTAATAATAAACCCAAAAACCTAGAAAGCCAGGCACCTCTCAATGCCCAAACAAAAGTTTCCAGCTTTCATTTTGTGCTTAGCTGGCATCGCCTTTGGCGTTTGGCTCCTCCAAGTTAATATTTCTCACAAGTCCCCCACCCTTGCCAGTTAGCATTACGTCCTCACTCCATCCCCTTTCCCATATAAATACACCTCCTTCTAAAACCCTTACCCACACCTTGAAAACAGTCCTTAAATCTCTCTCTCTCTCTCTCTCTCTCTCTCCAAAAAATGGGGATTTCTAGTTTGGTTTTGTTGGTGGGCTTGGTTTGCAGCTCTTTAATGGTAGCAACTTATGCTGGAAACTTTTACCAAGATTTTGACCTAACATGGGGTGGCAACCGCCCCAAAATATTCAAGGGAGGTCAACTTCTTTCTCTGTCTTTAGACAAAGTTTCTGGCTCTGGGTTTCAGTCCAAAAAAGAGTACCTCTTTGGGAGGATTGATATGCAGCTTAAGCTTGTTCCCGGCAACTCTGCTGGCACCGTCACCGCATACTACGTACGTATCACTCACACAACACACATACGTACACATTCCTCATACATACTAAAAAATAGAATAACAAACTTACATATATACTCCTTATTTTGGGGGAAATAATATATATAAATACTAACTCATTCTTTTTCTTCAATTTTTTTTTTCTCTATCATTTGACGTGGGCTTCACGATATTGTAGGCAATAAATAAAACTTATGTTTAAGTGAAATTTTTACGGACTTGGTTACGATACATGCATTTACTTAATACATTCATCATCTAACAGTTAGATATGTACAAAAAAAAAGAAGAGAATATCCTTTTACATCCTTAATGCTCAAAATGTTTATATACTCTAAATTATTCTTTGATATCTTTTTTCGGATGAAGTCACACATTTTAACTACGTAAATTAGAGAAAAAATGGATAAAATGGTATAAATCTAACTAATTCTGATATATTTTGAGAAACTTCGTTTTTTTATTACGAGTACATGATAATGTTTTAGACCGCTAATAGCATTTTTTATTTTTCATTTAGGATTATATGTTGTACGATTTTATATTTTCATAAAAAGACATGAATTCTACTGGCCCACTTGAAAATGGATGCTTTTGTCTTGTAAAAATATCTCCAAAGTAGTGAGACAGAGAAATAAGACTAAGTTTTTTGGACTATAATGGCTTGCATCAAATTCAACAGTAACTATGTATACTATACGTTCACGAGAGTGAGCCACCGAATACTTATAAAATAATTTACAAGTCAAAATTCATTCGATGTTTAAATTTGTTTCAGCTTTAAAGACCAATTGTTTTACTATATATATACAGATAATAATTTTTCATCTTTCGGTTTGTTTTTGTTTTTTTTCTTATGTAGCTGTCCTCTCAAGGTCCTACACATGATGAAATCGACTTCGAATTCTTGGGAAATCTTAGCGGTGACCCTTACATTTTGCACACCAATATTTTCACCCAGGGCAAGGGAGATAGAGAGCAGCAGTTCTATCTCTGGTTTGACCCCTCAAAAAACTTCCACACTTATTCCGTCATCTGGAAGCCCCAACACATAATGTAAGAAATAATTATTAATCCATGTATATTTATATGCCCTACGCTTAAGTTCTATTTATGGTTTCACAAGAATTGAGTTTAGTTGAGTTGGCTAGAGTAGAAGCAATGTGCTCTTCCTCTGCACCCAACTCCAAACTCTCGTGCATTTAGTTTAAATATGTTTAGCATAGAATATCGCTTGCATAAAAAAAAATGAAAGAGAAAAATTTAATTGGGTTATTGCTTCTCCATTTTTCAGTTTCTTGGTTGACAAGACTCCCATCAGAGTATTCAAGAACGCTGAAGCAGTTGGTGTCCCATTCCCGAAGAGCCAACCCATGAGGATATACTCAAGCCTTTGGAATGCAGATGACTGGGCCACCAGAGGAGGGTTGGTGAAAACTGATTGGTCGAAGGCACCCTTCACAGCATACTACAGAAACTTCAACGTCATTGATTCCAGGTCATCCAGTTCCTTCTCCGAATGGCAGACTAACGAGCTTGATGCTCCCAGCAGAAGACGTCTGAGATGGGTGCAGAAATATTTCATGATTTACAACTATTGCACCGACTTAAAACGCTTCCCACAAGGCGCTCCACCTGAATGCAGACGATCTTTCTAGTTCCCTTTAAAGAAAGATTAATGTTAAAGTTTAATGATCAAGGGCTTGATAGTGTTTTTAATTATTACTTCCGGTGAACACAGAGTTTGGCCTAGCATCGTGTCAAATAAATGAAATGTTTCTTTCTTCCTTGTATGATTAGCGGTAATGTTGTAAGATCTGTTTATATAATAAATTTTGGGGTCTGTGGCTTCTCACATTCCTTTTTAATCTATGTTGATTTTTTTCAATTCATCCGATCCGACAGTCGAAAACTAAAAAAATATGAAAGAAATATAAAGGAATGTGTGGATATTACATCCCTAAATTTTTGTTTGTGATTCCACGGAACAGAAAAAACGAGGGCTCGGTGATATGTGAGCTCGAGTTACTTTTTATTTATTTTATTTATTTTTAACATATTGTATTATCTACACTAAGGAGAGGCCGAGAGGGGAGTGCGCTTAACTTCACAATGGACTAGCAATAATGTAGATTAAATTTGTTTTTGACGAGAATCGAACTTAAAACATCTTATTTACAAGTGAAGAGGAATACCACTAGACCGTAATACTAAATGATCTGATTACCTTTAAAATAGATAAAACAAGCACAATTGAATAGTTGACAAGACCAATAATAATAATATACCAAGGGCAATCACTATAGATCGATTGCACAAGGATTGGCGTAAATCAATTTAACCAATTAATCACACAAAACCAAATTAAAAGATTTTTTTATAGAAATAAATAATTGATTGAAACTAAAATTAACAAGAAATTTAAGAAGACGAGAAATTAAACACGTAGTAAAAAGAGTTTTAAAATTTAAGCAACTGAAACTTAATTAAGGTTATGAATTTAACAATGACAAGCTTTTTTATTTTCTAGAGCCAATCCCATTACTATGCCAATGTTAAAAATTGTTCTAAGGTGTGGCTTAATCCTAGATTGGATTTAAATCTTGTATCCTATTGCGACACCACTAATATTAAATGTTGGTTAGGCATACGATTAAACACACGAAAGTTCTTTAAGTGCAAAAGAATTGTGTCTATCATGTACTTGTTTATTAGTCATCTTTATAGAGGTGATTAGCCATTAGAAATTTGAACATGGAATAAATTAAACACAAAAGTTATGAACTTAACATGACAATTAGTTGAATAGCAATCAACAAATTGCTTCGCAACTATGTAACCTTGAAAATGCCATGTCAGGTGTAACTATTAGATTCGGAACAGACCAATTACCAGATTAGCCTAATGATTTTTTGTTCGTAAAATTATTGCAAAAATTATTTAAATAACTGGAAGATGGTGCAAAAAACTGAATCATCAAGATGATACCTCACATCGCATAATAAGTAGGACTTGCACGAGAACTTATAATCGGAGATGGACAAACTGGACTCAAAATCTCATGCTACAGAGTGGGGAGATTCGAGTCATCTTTAAGGGATTATATTGAATATTGAGAATTGGAGACTTAGGGAAGAACCGACCCACTGGTCCTAGATCCCATTTTATACGCACGCAATTTGTTTAGTAACAAGGTAACAAGAAGCGGGCTAAAGCCACAAAAAGGAGTGGATTTCGAACCCGGTATGTTGTAGGTTCATGATTATACGAAGTAATTTCCAGATAGAAGAAAAAGGGTGTGCCAAAATCACTTCCTTTATGAAAAGATTTAGGCCTAAATAATTGACACGCCCCGATCCCGATATTCCTCGAATACCAAGATAGGCACGTGCTGGCCGACACCCAAGGGTGACGAAAGCCATTAATTGAATGCAAATGCTGAGAATAAGCAATAAATAAGGTTTATAAACATAAAAGAATAAAGAATATGCATTTAAGGAACGTGTTCAGAGCATACAACTAACTAGAACACTAAAAGAATGATATAAAATGGAATGAATAAAAGAATGAGTCCCACACCAAGAGGACTCAAAGATGCCGATGCGGAAGTGCCTTGATTGTCGGGATTGTACGCCTCGATCCTAAATCCTGAAGGGGGCGCAAAACAAACATGAGTGGACCAAGTTGATATAAATATATATAATAAAACAATTATCAATATACTAACCCCCAGGTTTATGAAAACAAATATATAATGATGAACATAGGTTTTCCGAAACCTAGCATGATGTGCAGTATCTCAAATCATAACTCATATATAATAATCACTAGTGAATTGTCCGATAACCTGCAGGCCCCATGCCGGCTCCCCGTCTCTGAGCAGACAGTTAGAGGAAAATACACTTCAGGCCCCATGCCGGCTCCCCGTCCCTGTGCTAAATAGCCAGAGGAAACACACTCCAGGCCCTATGCCAACACCAAACCGTCGCCCGGGACGGACCGGAATCTATCCCTACGTCCCGTAGCGGAAAGGACCACTAGGTAAGTACAAAACCATTGAACATACATATATTGAAAAACAACTTCATAGTATAAAGTCATCCATCATCTATACTATAAAGAGTTGTTCGAAACATGTTCTAGTATCATATCGTCATCCATCAGATATTCTATAAGAACACGGGTTATAGGAAAAATAGTAATAATTCAAAGTAGCCTCAGTAAGCATATCATCTCATAAAGTACTTCATAAAACATAACTATTAAATCATGCTTTTCATGTATGCATTTCTACTATAAAACATGCATTTTAGAAGGGGTCCACTCACAGTACTTAGCCGCCGAAGAGCCACGCAAACTAACGTCACCAATATTGCCCCTAAGCACATAAATGGTCCAATTAATAAAACTATATAATAGCAATTGGATTTGGGAAAACGGACGTTGGAAACGGATTCAGAACGTCGAATTACCCTAAGAATGGTTTGAATTAAATAAAATAGGGATTTGGAATTGGATGGTTTAGGGTTTTAAAGATTTGGGTTATAAATTAGGTGAAAATGGGTGGTTTGGCCTAAGCACCACACGCACACACACCACACACGTACGCAAACACATGGCTTGCAAGGAGCATAAAGCCCTTTACTCAAAACAAAAAATAATAAAAAAGAATAAAAACCGGCTGGGCTAGGCAGGGAAGGCCCAAAGCCTTGGGTTTTGGTGGGTCGCCGGATCCAATGGGAGAGAAGGCCGGAAATTCGGCCGGAAAACCATCCAACTTTAAACGGCCATAACTTTAACAATACTCAACGAAATCAAGTGAGACAAAAACGAAAGTTATAGCCCTTGAAGAGACGAAGAGAATGGTACCTCACACGACGTCTAACTCGCCGTGTTTTGGCCGGAAAACGTCTCGAAAGCCGTCGGACTCGCCGGAAACTGGGTAAGATTCAAATGAGTATAACTTTTCCAATACTCAACGAAATTGAGTGAAACAAAAAGGAAAGTTGTACTACTCGACGAGACGAAGAGATTGATACCTTGCACGCCGGCCAACTCGTCGTGGTTTGGCCGGAAATGTCCTCGAAAGGGGCGGTGCTCGCCGGAGCTTACTCCGTGTCGTCGAACTCGCAGGGCAGGGTCCGGGGTTCGTTGCGAGCCTCTCTTCGATGGTGACTCGGTCCTAGTGAGTCCAGGGGAAGAGAGAGATGCGAGAGGGTTGAGGAGAGAGAGACGGGAGAGCTGAGAAGGAAGAGCTACGGGAGGGAGAAACGAAGAAGAAAGAGAGAGAGATCAGAAAACATAAAAAAATAAACAAGGTGGGCCCCACGGGCTCACCAATTAAGGCTTTAAAACAATTTTAAAATATAAAAGAGGGTTGGGGTGTTTCAATAATAATCTAATGCAAGAAAATACATGAAGATGGTTTTGGGTCTTGCTATTTGAACAACCTTATGGATTTGTATTCTCAGCTTGTTCGTATTATAAATACACTTTTAGAAATCTTCCTCTTATTATACTGTATTTCAATATTACTAGATCTCCTATACTTCCCGCTGCATTAATGTATGTTAATGCAGTACACAAATGTAATGAGAACAACGTTAAAGCCAGTAAACAAAGGAAGAGTTCAAACCAGTAAACAAGGGAAGAGTTCAAACTAGTAAACAAAGGAAGAAAATCATATGCAACAAAAGATGGTATCAACCAAAACAAACCACAGAGCATGTTGTATTCTAAAAGCGAGTTCAAGAATGCACCTTTGTGATACAGAAAAACAAGATATCAAGAATGCATTAATCTGCAATCAATTGGAAGCACCTTTGTGATACAGAAAAGCAAGATATCAAGAATGCATTAATCTGCAATCAATTGGAAAAATTAAACACAACGTTTGATAAAATCTTTAAGCGAAACAAAGCTAGTCTTACAAAACATAATACCATGTATGCTTGATTAGCTATGAGCCTATATGACGTGTATTACCTTCGAACTCTAAAATCCGATAACATCTTTAAGCGAAACAAAGTTTGGAATGTGGACACGTGCGCCACCCACCCATGCTATCCCATCGATCTCAACCCTCGCAAGGTCCCTGGTACTAGGAGAATAAGCTCGCAATATTCCACAATTCTCTAATAACAAGACTTTAACCAGTTGGGGATAATCTGAAGGACGGAGACAAGTGTTGCTGCAAATATTACGCTCTTGGGTCCAAGACTCCTTAACGCCAAATTCCTTCATCACCCAAATAATTATGCTATGAAGCGAGTAAACAGTTACAGAGAGGCAACCTTTCAAGACTCCGAGGTTATAATTAGGCACATTCTTCATATCAAAACGACAAGGGGGTAGTGGTATCTGCTGGAAACGCTAAGTTTCAAAATCAAAAGCAAATATCCCGAGAGAACACATACGCCGGCCTAACCATTGAATAAATCCGTCGTGATAAGTACCATTGATAATGCGAGAATCTCATCAAAACCCTCGATGCTTCTCCAAGTAGTAGAACCAACCGTGAGAACCCTCGCCCCCGGTTCCTTGGACCAATCGGTTGGCTTCTTAATCAGAACAACTTATACACATCACTGATGGGACTAAACCCAAAGCCAGAATAACAATTTGTAAAACGGATTTTCTTATACATAGAAGGTTTTGGAATAGCTAAAGACTCGTAGGTAATGGGATTGGATATGTACAGACTCACCGATCTCATCCACCTGTCTTCATATAGAAGCAAACCGTTGTATGAACTCACAATATGTATATCTCTAGTTCGGAAAATTGGGTCCTTACAAAGTTTCAAAGCCACATGGTTTTTGGTAGAGCTGTAGTTGAGGTCGACCAAGAAGTGGGTGTACTTAATCTGCCATCCCTGGAGCACTGTATTGGGGGGTTCCCTTGGACCAAAAGGCAAGTATGAGTTCGTGAAAATAGGTCTTTGGTAAACTGAAGATCTGAGAGGCAACGACGCCAATCCTTGCACGCACATTGGCACTGGATGAGCATTTTAGTTGGGATTTTGCAGAAGATCTGCACTAGAATGTGGTCTGGTAAATTGGTAATTGTAGAATATAGGATTTCTTATCATGCTTTTCTTCTTCATCATCTTGTTTTGCAGGTCTATGAGAGGACCTTGAGGGGCTTAGGCAGACTTGGTTTTTTTCATTGATATAGGTTTTGCACCAGCGTACTTGCTATATATCGTCCACTTCACTCGGAATATGATTCAAAAGTCGTTGGGCCGGGCCTGGCGTACTTCAGCTTATTATTAGGTTTATTTAGCCCTAGTTTGGCATTGCGGTACTTAATTAAAAAGCAGTTTTTTAAAAAATTTTGGATCCTTTAAGCATTTGGTAACTGAAAAATAAAGCAGCTTTTTCTCGAGGTGATAAAAAGCAAAAATCAGGAAGCTGCCCTTACCCTGCTTTCAAAAACTGCAGAAAACTGCTTCAAAATGAAGCATGCAGAGCTACAGTGAAGTTTTAATGAAATTTTCTAAAGGCCAAAATACCCCCGCCTTTTTTTACTAACAGGCCATCTTTGTCCTCCATCTCTGTAATGTCCTTCATTTCTCTCTGCTAAACACCCACCAACTCCGACCACTCTAGCCACCACACCTAGCCCCTACTAACACCATGACCACCTCTCCGAACCCACTAGTCATTAATTTTCACCCATCAAGAACGCAACCCACCATAGCCACAGCCCACCTCCTGTATTTTCTCTCGAATCCACAACCACTGCCAAATTCAAAACTACCACTATGGACTCACCTTTAGTGGCAGTCTGGAAGCCGTCGGATCTAACCGATGACTGGTGAATACTCGCTTCCATCTTAGGGGGTGATGAAGCCGTAGCCCTTGGTGTCGCTGAACCCCCACACCTTCTCGAATTTTTGAGCTTCGTCAACTCTGAGTCGCTGAACCCTCACACTCCAAATCTTATTATCACCAAATCTGCATATGCTTTTGCAGCAATTACATAATCGAGCCCGGCCAAATTTAGAAAATAAATTATCAAATTTGGGGAGATCATCTTGGTCTCAAGGGTGCTACGGTGGGGGATGGTTTGAGGTGTGGAGAAGGGTTTGGAAGATGTGGAAAAGGGAAGATGGGGCAGAGAGAAAATTGGATGCTTATAGAAAGAATTACATTATGAATAAAAAAGTATAACATCTAACATCATACCCTTTTTTGTCATTTAACATTTTTACAACAGTTTTATATAAAAGTTTACCAAACACTTAAACAGTGTTTTCTTGGTTAAAAGCACTTTTACAAAAAAGTTATCAAACACTCTACTGCTTTTTTTTACAGCTGTTTATTTTCACAGCACAGCAGAAGCAGTTTTTTAAAAAAGCACATCAATACTAAATCAACCCTTAGAAGGAAAACGTTATGTTAACAATTTGTACTAAAAATATCCCTTATCCAATAATCATATTTTATCCTTTTTTTTAATTTTTTTTAAAAGGGGTACAACTCAGAGTTGTCCACTCATTTTGGGTCCGGATAGGCTATGGGTGTAATTCAGTTTATTTTTTAACAAACGATTTATTTATTTATTTATTTTAACAAACAATATTATCTACATTAAGGGGACATGGGACATGTGAGTGGGCTAAACCTCACAATAGAGCTAGCAATAATATGGTTCAAATACGTTTTTGGCAAGAATCGAACCTAAAACCTCTTACTTATAAGTGAAGAGAACCAATAGATCATAGTACTAAGTGGTATAATTCAGTTTATTAGAAGCACTATATCTTGACACTTATGTAGGTATTTACAAAGATCAACATACAAGCCTAATCAAATAAGTAAATCTAATGAAATAAGCAAAATAAAGGGGAGTTTTAACGAAACACTCTTGGTACTGTTCACTTTTAACGAAAAATCATATTTTTACATTTTCTTGGTACTATTCATTACACATTTATTTGTCATTTTTCATTAAAACTAAAGTTTTTTTTTGAACTGTTCGTTAGTTTTCCTAAAATAAAATCCATGTGGACAAAGAAATCTAAATATTATTTTCTCCTAAAGGTAGGAAATAAAATACAATCCAAAAAATTCCTATGTTTTTACTATCCAACACTCTTCCTCCAACTCATGGTGATAATCATGAAAACAGTAGTCATCAAGGCCCGGTAGACAACGGTTGTCATCAGCATTGAAACACAAAGATTATGAGCAGCCGTCTTGAGTGATCACTACTCTAAGCACTTACGTGGTTGTCCAAAACTTAAATTAGTTTCTCCGAAGCAATTCTTCCCTTCACTCCCCGCAATAAAAAAAAAATTAAAAAAAAAACTAAATAGGGCAAAAGCAAAGAAAGAAAAGTCAAATTCAAAGCCAAAGCAAGGTAAAGTAAGGCAAGGTAAGTAAAGCAAAGCAAAACATCAGGCATACGGCATGCAGGTATCTGTGAGTGCATGAGAGTGCATCTCAACTTCATCAGCAACATAATCATCATCACGATAAGGCAGGGATTCTATGTGCACCTCCATTCCACAAATTTCTCTTTATTTTAAAAGTTTTAGTTCTATCCTGTACAAACTTCAAAATTCTGGAAAGATAAAAAAATAAAGAAACACATACTACCTCCTATAGACTTGTAGAATTTTTTATTTATTCTTCTGATTTCGTGTCAGCCAGTAAGATCATAGTACGGAACTTCGTTCGGTTTTGCATAAAATTCTTTGTTAGCTCCAAATACTCCATATTTTTTCTTAAGATCTCTTTCCAAGTCTTCTTAGGTTTTCCTTTACCCCTTTTGCCTTGACCTTCGTCTCACAATCGTATCTTCTAACCGGAGTATCTCGTATGTTAGGTGATTTAATTTGTTTGTCCCCTTGGATTACTAACAAACATAGCCAACTCAGTTTCATTTTATTGCGCTCCAAAAAAAAAAAAGAAAGTCATCTGCGCTTCTCTCATACTTTATTTGCAGGATGACTTGGTGCTGTCAATAAGGAAAGGGTAACATATATATCTCAAAATAATGTATGTAGGAACTTGAAACAATTTTGATTAGAGGAAAATTAACATGAAGGATTATCTGTAACTAGTGAATGGCAGTGAGAAATGCGACCACGAAATTGTACTACATTAAAGACCAAATGATTGACTAGCCACGACACATTGCCAGCGAGCTCTAACCCTTTATAACATCTTGAAGCGAAACCAAGCTTGGAATATGCTAGTTATAAATGATACCCCATGAATCTGAACCCTTGCAACGCCCCTTGTTCCACTAAAGAAAAACCGACTTTTCCAGACCTACAAAATTAGTCGCGCAAAATGACATTTCGTCGCCTTAGATTTTGGCCGACAACATTTCGTCGGAAAAAGGTGTTTTTATTTGTAGTGAGGCCATAGAAAATAGAACTTTATACTTGTTCTCTTTACTCTAATGCTTCGTTGCTTAAACACTTCTGCAAAATGCCAAACTTAAGTCTACATTATATAAGTTTTCCTAAACAATTAGAATCTGCCCATATAAACGATCATTTATTCAATACAAACATTCCTTCCAAATAAATCAAATTCTAATGAAGTCAGATTCTGAATAATTCCTTAATCGAGAACTCAAAGTAGATAAAATCTTGTGTAATGTGAATTTTAAGCACAATGTTGAAGAAAATTATATGCAGCACAAAGACAAAAAACAAGGTATAGAAAAAATAAGAAAACAAGAGTGCATTAATCTGCAATCAATTGGAAAATTTAAATCAACGTAGGATAATGCTATTCACACATCTATTTTTAGGTTCCACAGATCCTTGTTAATTTTTGGGCATTGATATATATTCTTCAATTTATCTGATCCGACTGCAAAAAATTAAGAAGGTGTATAAGAAGTAAAAATAGATATGTGGATAACACTACCCTTTACGCAAATCAAACAACCAATCACCTCAGTATCTTACAAAATATAATACCAATACTATGTAAGCTTGACTAGCTAGCTATGACATATAGTTTCGAGCTCTAACCTCTGATAACATCTTTAAGTGAAACAAAGCTTGGAACGTGGACAAGTGCGCCACTGTTCCATGATATCCCATCGATATGAATCCACGCAAAGCCCCCTGTATTAGGAAAATAAACTCGCAAACATCCGTCCCTACCTAGTATCAATACTTTTCCTTCCTCGGTAAAGTTCACCGATTTGAAATAATATGAACGACAGTCACCCGAGTTCTTGCAAATTTCAAGCTCTTGGGTCCAAGACTCCTTAACGCCATACTCCTTCATCATCCAAACAGTTACACTATTAAGCGAATGAACAGTCAAAGAGATGCAACTTTTCATGACTCCAAGCTTATAATTAGGCACATTGTCCATATCAAACTGACAAGGGGGTAGTGGAAATTGCTGGAAATGCTCAGTTTCAACATCAAAAGCAAAGATCCCGAGAGAATCCATACGCCGGCCTAACCAATGAATAAATCCATTATGATGAGTACCATATGATAATGCGAAAATCTCAAAACCTTCGATGATTCTCCAAGTAGTACAACCAACGGTGAGAACCCTCGCCCCCGGTTCCTTGGACTCATTGTTTGGCTTATTAATCAGAACAACTTTATAGACATCACTGATGGGACTAAACCCAAAGCCAGAATAACAATTTGTAAAACGGATTTTCGAAGGTTTAGGAATAGCTAAAGACTCAGCGGTAATGGGATTGGATATGTAAAGACTCACCGATCCCATCAACCTGTCTTCGCATAGAAGCAAACCGTTGTATGAACTCACAATATGTATATCTCCAGTTCGGAAAATTGGGTCTCTACAAAGCTTCAGTGCCACATGGTTTCCGTTCCACTTGTGCTTCAGGCCGACCAAGAAGTGGGTGTGTTTAATCTGCCATCCCCATGGGCACTGTATTTGGGGATTCCCTTGGACCAAAAGGCAAGTATGAGTTCGTGAAAATAGACCCCTCATGAATTCAATATCTGAGAGGAAACGATGCCAATCCTTGCACACACATTGGCACAGGATGAGCGTTTTGGTTGGGATTTTGCAGAAGATCTCCACTATAATGTGGTCTGGTAATTGCAGAATATAGGCTTGCTTATCATGCTTTTCTTCTTTTTCTTCTTCTTCTTGTTTTGCCTGTCCATGAATGGACTTTGGGGGGTGGCTTAGGCACACTTCGGATTTTTCCATTGATGTGCTGTAGTTCTGTAGGTTTTGCACTACCGTACTTGCTAGATTACGTCCACTTCCCTCAGAATATATATTGATTCAGAACTAGGGTTTGAGACTGCATGTGTCCCGTTGGGCTGGCCCATTTCAGATTATTTTCAGGCGTATTTAAAAAATGTAATATTAATTTGTACTTCAAAAATCTATTATTGTTGTAAGGCCAAATATTTTCGTAATTCTTATGGTGGTAGTGCAATTTTAATGTCACTCTGGTGGTGAAAATGTTGTTATGCAAACTACTATAGCCATCCTTAAAAGGGCACACGTGAATCACATGTGGGAAGGTTATATTTGTCTCTTCAAACTAAAAATTTTGGTGACGCTTCTTCGCTGACTATAGGAGGTTATATTTGTATAAAATTAGGATTCGACGGAAAAGGCTCAAACCGAACAACGTTAGTGCTTTGAAATCAATGTCTAAAATATCGATATTATCCTGATATTTTCATTGAAATTTCCGTGTTTTTGGACTACTGATATTTCCGATATTATCGATATTTTAGACCTTGATAGGAACTCTATGTTGTACTAAGTCACTCATGTATCTTACCATGCAATGTATAAAGTATAAAATATTGTACTAATTCATAAATGATTATAGTGTGTTTAAACTTCTTTCATTAATTACTACATATTTTCTACACTCACAATATTTGCCAGTTCGCTATATAATCAACTTAAATCAGTTAAATCCATCATGCAATGCATTTCCTTCCAATTTTTATGATAAACTAATAGATAATTGACTAAATAAACATCCTGCAAAGTTTCAATAAAAATTTCCAAGTTTTTCTTACAATTTCCGTAGTTTTTATTCAATTTTTATCGATATCGATAATATCCCGATATTTCCATCGAAATTTCCGTGTTTTTGAACTACCGATATTTCCGATATAATCGATATTTTAGACTTTGTTTGAAATTGAATATCTTATCAGCCAGATCAGTAAGAGTTTCAAATATATTTAATGAACTGCACCCTATGTGATACGAATGGCGTTGCAGATGCCCTTTTAGTTACAACATGTTTTTCAATTTCTTTTTCGTATATAGTGTCAAGATTCCTCGAGGATTATACTATTCAAATGAAAAATGGCACTGTTCATTTGTAATTTGCAAGGTTTTAATTTTTCACTGAAAAAAGGTGTATGCCTATAATACCCATTCCAATGACTGAAAACATAAATCCGAAAAATATGAAGTGAACTCTTAAGTCATCTTACGATAGATGTTTAGGTTTCTTAATTTGGTTGAAACTTGAAATGACAAATATAACCTCACGTGAGATTAACGTGCGCGTTTTTAACGAAAGACAATCGGAAGTTAGGGTTTCAATTGTAATGAGGATCATAGATTTAAAAATCGATAATATCGGCGAGATAACGATATTTCGTGAGTATTTTTTTAATTATCGATAATATATCGCGATAATATCGATAATATCGCGATATTATATATAATATCGCGAGATGAACCTAAAAATATTCGTGAGTACGCGTTTTTAACGAAAGACAATCGGAAGTTAGGGTTTCAATTGTAATGAGGATCATAGATTTAAAAATCGATAATATCGGCGAGATAACGATATTTCGTGAGTATTTTTTTAATTATCGATAATATATCGCGATAATATAGATGAACCTAAAAATATTCGTGAGTATTTTTTTAATTATTGATAATATATCGCGAGATGAACCTAAAAATATTTGAAAATTTCTGAAAAGTCTCAAACATGCACATAAAGGGATTCGAACCCCTCCCATCTAACTCCTTCAGCGACTTGACCACTATACCACTTACGTTTTTGTGAAAACATGCTAAACTATTTATATATATCGTTTTGTTTTGAATTCTTTTTGCAAGAAACAAATTTGCACATATTCCAAATTTTTTGTGGTATTATATTTTAAATTGTGTCAATTAATTACTTAGTCAATGGCATGTGGTTTTTAATTTTTCTATTTTTTATTTGGTCACTTACATGTATGGTTGGAAAAAATTCCCGAAAATCCCAAACCAAACCGAAAAAGTCCCAAACCAAAACCATCCCGAAAAATACCGAAATTTTCGATATGGGATTGGTTTCCAAATCCCATTTGTTTGGTAATCCTGAAATCCCGAAAAATACCGAAGTATTCGGTTTCCTATTGACTTTTGGGTTTCGGTTCTTGAAAGCCATTGCCATGGTTGCTAACTACTCTTCACAATACACTTACTCTACACATAGTGATGATGAAGATAGTGAAAATTTTGAACCTCATAGGAACTCTATGTGGTACTTAGTCACTCATGTATCTTACCATGCAATGTATAAAGTGTAAAATATTGTACTAATTCATTATATATAAATGATTATGGTGTGTTTAAACTTCTTTCATTAATTATTATATATTTTCTACACTCACAATGTTTGCCAGCTCGCTATATAATCAACTTAAATCAGTTAAATCCATCATGCAATGCATTTCCTTCCAATTTTTTGTGATAAACTAATAGATAATTGACTAAATAAACATCCTGCAAAGTTTCAATAAAAATTTCCAAGTTTTTCTTACAATTTCCGTGGTTTCCATGTAATTTTTATCGATATCGATATTATCCCGATATTTCCATCGATATTTCCGTGTTTTCGGACTACCGATATTTCCGATATTACCGATATTTTCTACCTTGATGAGGATGACCACAAGGGCTTGCTTAACAACTTTTTTCGCCACGAGAGGGACATCAAAAGTGCACTGCCACCATAAGGACCAGGAAAAAAATTTGGCCTACTTAAGTAGATAGAACAATGGTCTACTTAGGTCAATAGAACAAATGTATGGTTTAGTTTCAATCCATCTATATGTATGACTTGCCATTAGTGATGACCTAGTATGAATGGATTGGATTGGATATAGTGCAAATGCATAAGAGAATGTTGAGATGTGAGGTCTGCAAGAAGCTTTGTGCTGCAGCCCTTCGTACATGCACAGAAATACAAGCAAAGCTTTGTTCTTCATCCCTTTTACTCCTCTTTCAACTTATTTCCAAATCCAGAAACTACAAATTGCAGCTTCAGCTTTTTCCTTTGATTTCAGCTTATTCTCACAGCAGCTTCCAAAATAAGCCCTTTTTTTTAAGTTTACCAAACACCAAAAACACTCCCAGCTTTTTTTCATAGGAGCTTTTTTTTAAATCACCTCAACCCCAAACTGGGGCTAAGAAACATCATCAAACACTAAATCCCAAAACATCTTCTCCCAGAAGGCAACCCGGTGTCCGTGAAAGCACGTCTATGGTAAACTCGGGATCAGAGAGCAAACCCCGCCAAGGCTTGCACACGCACTTCAAACCCTAAGCCTTGATTCTCTCTGTTATTCAGTATTGGAGAGCCTCTAGTTCACTCTCTGTGGTGCGACGGAGGGAATTGTATTCTTCTCTTGATTTCAATGATACAATCGACTTTCTACCACTGCATGAGGTTCATTCCCCACAAAGTATTTCAACATTCAAATAACTCAAATTCACACAATGGAAGTTCTACAGAAATCTGAATCTATAACAACGTTGTCCCGAGATACAAGATTGATACAGTTTCCACAAAATTGTGTAGTTAGAAACATCCTGGATATCAATCCAACCAAATCCTCCTGTAAACACGAACGGTTCCCATAATCCAACCTAATCTATCCTAGCCACAAAGAAAGCAATTCTTTTTCTCGTGATCTGACACTAGCTGCTTGAAAACTTTTCTTTCGGAATGACTTTTTCTTCAACGTAATTTGCAAATGTGACACTTGGTTCCTGCAAGCACTGCAAGAAATAAGTTTAGCTAAGGCTTAATACCGAGTAACCAAATTGGGATAAACAAATAACAGAAGAACACCATTAAAGCTAGAAATACTTTCTTATGGAGTATGTGGGACACTTACTGTGACTCTGGAGTGAATGTTGAGATCATAATTCATTTCACCGAGGCGGTTTCTTGCAATGCCTTCCGCTTCAGATGCTCTCCTGCAAGCTTCTTTAACCTGAAATAAATAAAAACAAATCATGATTCCAACATCAACGAATTATTTTGTTTATTAGTCTTTCCGAAAGGCATAAATATTTTGGTATGCCGTGTGAAAAAAGATATTCAAACCATATGGCAATTTTGAGCAGATGTAAATTATAAGTGGTTGAACATAAAGGGACTGCAACTTGGAAGCATATATTCTAATTAGTCATAAAAAAGGCATAGCAAGAGCCAAAAAAATGAAAGTTTATAACCGCATCTTTGTTTCAAGCTCTAGAAAAACTGACCTCGTTTAAGTTCATGCTGGGATTAGTTGCACTAGCAGCTGATAATTCTAATATCTTACGTAAATTGGATAGTTCTTTCATCAAATCTAAGGCTACTTCTTCAGCATCTTGCATCTGATTTCTAGAGAACTCAAATGCTCTCTCTGCATGGAGTCTAAACGAAGCACAATTCAAACACGAGCAGAGTCCTCTGCATCTCGTGGATTTCTTTTAAGGATCCCTTTTCTGGGACCAACTTCATGAATACCTGAAGAAACTGTGGCAGCAATTTCGGATGAGTTCTGAGAAAAGCTATTAGCTTGAAGTGGCTTCCCACCATTAGATAATGTTGCTCTTGAACTTATGCCTTCCTCTTCAGGTTTATCAGATAATGAATCACTGACTGATATTGCACCGTCTTTTAAGGAAGTACTGGGGCATAATAAAGTGACTGGTGCATCTGTTTCTTGTTCCGAACTCATTATCTCAGGGCGTGTTTCCAGTTTACTTTGTTTACCTGATACAGCCTGCTCAGCATAATGTTCCTCTTGTAAATCAATTGGCATTTGAGATTCAGGGACGTGCTCTGGAGAAGTTAAATTCTGTCCACCATCGTTAGATGAGCCATTAGCTGTCACTAGTTGTGGTGTCGGTAGAGTACCGGGATCACAAATTTGATGCTTTGATTGAAATTTCAAGCCCTCTGATTTATCCATTGGTGTTTCTTGCTGATTAGGAGTCACTGGTGACAGTTGCTTTTGTTTCAAATCCTTATCAGTATTGGCAGCTGTGAAAAATGATCATAAGAAAGGTTAAGCTTATTTCTACTAGAGGCTCCAAGTTAATACAACCATCTATTCCTTCAAATTATAAAGAAGTGCACAAAGGAAACAAATTACCAGAGTTAGTCTTCTCCATGTCCATAAGAAATGGAAGCAATCTTCTGTAGCTAATTGATCCCGGACTCCTAAACAACTTGAGTCGTGAACATGGATTTAAAACCTAATTTGGAAACAAAAAATTATATTAGCAGAAGGACAAATAAACATTCAAAAAATCATTGATCAGCCAGCTTTTGCCTAGAACCAGAATGCCTTGGATTAAAAGATATCATACCGGAAAATGATGGCTTTCCAAATGAAATTCAGACTGATATTTAGAGAGGTTGATAAATAATTACCAGATTTCTCTTGGGAGTAGATTCATGTCTCTTAATATCAACAGATGGAACATCTCTATGATTGAATGCAGTGGATGGCATCTCCGAACCTTCATTTGTACTCTGAAGAACATATCCTTCTTCACTAACTCTTTTTACTTCCCCCTTAAGTTTCCCTAAGATCTCAGCATCTGGTGGTGTCATCTGGCAATCGTCTTCGTTTGAATCATCTATCTGATTCAAAATGTCACCGGCATTACCAACTCTCTGCTCATTTAAGTGATTTGGATTTTGGTCTTTACAAAGATAGCCCATGTCATTTTTTCTCATCCCATCATTCTGAAGTAGGTTTATGTTCTGACCAACTTCACTATCCTTGCATGAATAGCACTCCTCCACAATCGAATGTGAGTTGGGATTTTTATCTTTCACATTTTGAGCTTCGCCCGGAAACCCATTAACAGCTTTATCGGCAGTCCCCGCATTCTCTACTGGTGTATCACCATCAGCATACACGTCAATAACATGATCCTTATTAACTAGAGAGTCCTCCACAGCTGATGAGGAAAAGGGGCTCGGAGAATTTAACTTCTGAACTTTGCAAGAAAATCCCAAATCACAAATTTCAACCTGTTCATCAACAGGTGGCTTTGACCGACACTCATCAACCACAGTCATAGATGGTGATTCCGAAGCAACACTATCATTAGATGTGTCATTTGAAGAAACTTGTACAGTTTCCAGCTGAGCAGAAGAACCATTGGTAGGACACTCCCTGGAAAGTTTCTGCTCATTAAATTGATGCAAGAAACCTGCTTGATTTTCAGAAGCCCGCTTACCCTGGAACGGTTTTCCTTCCAAACCTTTATTAAGATTTGGCTGTTGACGAAACTCAAGCATACCTGTACACAGAGTACTACAACACTTAGTTCCCTGAATATATAATTCTCCAGAGGGAAAAATAATCTTAGCATTTGACAATCTTAACAAAAGTAAAGAAAGGCAAGGGTAAAGCGGTTACAAGAATTGTCTTTCGCCATATCGTTTAAATACGGAAGCAATCGTCTATAACTGAATGAGCCGGGAGCTTTAAACACTCTCTGTCGAGGCTTAAGGACCTGACATTACCACAAAGAATAACACAACACAAATCAAACAATGCGTTTCAATGCCTTGTATGACCCATAAATGCTTCCATCCTTTCTCAAATTTTATAACCAACAGCTCTAAGTAATATCAAACACTTGATCTTCAAAAAAATTCAACTAAACTGGTAATCAGACATACCGATTTGGTTTGATAATCGACATTGACACGAAAACTATTTGCCTTCGCATCGGGTGATGATTTCTGGGCACATTGCTGAGCGGAGCCACCGATCCCTTTACTGGCCGGGGATTTAAGACTGGCATCATCCAACACAAACCCCATTTCTGAATTCTCAGTCCCTATGCTCTCCGAATCAGCCACATTTGGACCAGAGCGAGAAATCCCATTTCCAGAACTCTCCAACCCATCGTTCTTCGCCGCCTTGGGACCATTTTCTGGTTCATGCGAACCGAATCCAATCCCTAATTTTTGGTGGTCGTTCACGTTCTCAGGCGGGTCAGAGGTTGGGGAAAATACCCGTTTGACGCGGAGATCTTTGATCAGGGTGCTCCGGAGCAAGGTGCCGGTTAAAGATCCTTCCATGATCTGATCTAATGATCTGGGTCTTTTCCGGAGTGATTCGGAGCTCGGAAGCTTAGAATCGCCGTCACAATTTCTGGCCTGATCGGATCGGTGGGTGTGGAGCTGGATCTGAGATTTGACGCCGTTGCTGATCCGCATTACAGGTGAAGGCCGCTTCCATTTCATGGAGGTTTGGTTTGCTTCCATGGCCGCTTCAGACTGTAGGAATAAGAGAGAGAGAGAGAGAAGGGAAGAGAGTTTAGCGAAGGAGAGATGGAAAAAGATATATATGGCGGCAAAAAGGTGCGAGAGGATGGTGGATGATGACGGGAAAGTAAGGGGTTGGGTTATTTTTGGCGGGAATGCGGAGCTATGGGATTAAATACGTTTTGATTAAGTTTTAATTAAATTTTTTTTTGGAAATTAAGGGCTGATTTGGTATTGTCATGTTTTTAAAAAAAAATTGTTTATGTTATGCTATGAGAATAAACAGCTGTAAAATAAAGTTATTAAGTATTTAGTAAACATTTTTTTTGTAAAAGTAAGCAGTGTCTGATTGTTTAGTAAATTTTTATATAAATTACTTTGAATATGTTAAATGACTAAAAAATGATATAGTATTTAATCCGATATAATAATTGTTAGAGACAAAATGTAGAGGAAAATATTGTAATTTTATTAAACATGTGGGGGTATACTTGTTATTTGAAAAGTTCATTAAATGAGCATTAATTACTATGCTTTAAAAAATCATTTTTTTAGAAGTATGGTAGACTTGCTTCTGATTTTCTATACTTTTTTACTTTCATTAATAGCAGTTAAAAAAAACACATTTTTTATTTTACCAAACACATTTAATGTTTCACAGTTTTTAATAAATTTTTTTTTTTAAAGCACCACAATCCCAAACTAATTCTAAATCCCGTTTTGAAATGTTTGGTTTTCATTTTGTTTTGTGGAAAGTGATTTAACTCCATTTGGGCCAAGGTCAAAGTTGTGTCAGCAAGAATGCTTATACGTATTTCAATATGTCTATTGTTTGAATACATGAGGTATTCCACTATACATTATATACTATATAAGACCGTAGTGAAGTAGATGTTTATTATAGCCATAATCACTTACAGAGAAATGTTGGTCTAGCAGAAAGCGAACAATGAGTTGGAATCCGCAATTCGAGTTCAAACTCCCACGATGCATTTCCTGTGATCATCAACTATGCTTTGACGTATTGTTTAACATGGGGTCAAAAGTACGATACCTCCTATGCAATAACGAGGCTGCTCAAAAAGAGAAATTAATATGTCGTTAATGTGTGGTGGGATAGCGCTCCTATAGTAAAAAATAAAAGATAATTCCCATGTGCTTTCTTCTGACTTTAAATGATTATATAAATTAGTTACGGGATTCTTTCTATTTTCAGGTTTTGAGATACCCAATTTTGTAAAGGATAATGCTAGGTAGGTCATATTTTCTAAATAAATTTAGAAACTAAATAATATGTCACTAATATGAGTACCAACATCCATTTACCCAACATATCCTAACGTTGTTAATGCCCATCATCACTAAGAGGGCCGACTTGGGAAACCTATTCAATAACTAGATCATCATGTTTTGCAATATCTGTAACCACTACATCCACCTGTTCATCGCAGGAATCTCCTGGCGGACGAGCACACAGCTCCCCTGGGAGAATGGCGTCGGTTGAGGGTATCTGTCGTACTTCTGCTTTCTTCTCGGACTCGCTCGGGCAAGCCTTTGTCGGGCAAGACACACTTCGGGCAAGGCTCGTCGGGCAGTTCTTAAAGAGAAGGACAGAGTTAATTTGAAAGGGTGCCTTTGTGGGGCCTTAGGTGTAGGCCTTAAGGCTCACAATCAAGATTAACTTTGTCGTGCTCAGGCGTGCCACTGCCATCTTTAGTATGACAGATGTTGAATGGGTGTTAAGCTTTGATTGAATATGTATACGCCCGAGAAACCAAGTTAGATATAACAGGTGCCTTTGTGGGGCCTTAGGTATAGGCCTTGAGGCTTCCTGTCAACCTAAACCAGCGCTTGGATGTATCATATTTGGTCTTTTATGGTTGCCAGAGTCTTATCACTATTATACCTTTGATTATCTGAATCCAAGAGGGTAGGACGAACCCAAATGAGTGCCTTTGTAGGGCCTTAGGTATAGGCCTTGAGGCTTCCCATCAGAGTTAATCCTTATACTCGGACCAACTAGACCGCAACATGAAATGAAGCTAAATAGATGCCTTCGTGGGGCCTTAGGTGTAAGCCTTGAGGCTTTCTATCAGAATTCACTCCGTGCTTAAGCCTTTTCTACGAATCAAGATATAATAGCAACAAAACGGAGAAATAGATTGATTACTTGCGCCCCAAGTAACTTCGGACTTCTCGCTTATCAAGGATTGTCGTGGATGGGTTGAGTCCACATAGAGTTCTTTTTTATGCCTTGAGGCCAAGGACTTTACTGATCTTTAAATTACATGCCCGCGGGCTTAAGACTTTGCTAGAAATAACTTGTATATAACTGGGAATATATAACATGTTATTGTGCTTTTAAAAGAAAGAAAAGACAAAGACAGAGCAAAGATAGTCGGGTAAGTTTGAACCTTATCGGCCAAGGCTGAACTTCTTACAAAATCTATCTTTGTGGCTCTGTCAGAGGTCTGAAAGCTTTTAGAGGGGTTGACGGGGGGGAGAAGAGGATACAAAATGAATCGATACCACCATGAACAAGGTAGTAGCAGAGCTATTACAGGGGGTTTGGGAAGGTTTATCCCGAATGGGATGAAGGCTTGTGCTACTGACTACAGCTTCTTCGTGAAAGAAGGCAAATCTGGCTTGAACAGAGTTTTGGCTTTTGTTTGTTTGTTTGAGTGTCTTTAATTCTGTCTTCTCTTCCTCCTTTTATAGACGACTTCAGCTTGGGTTCCTGTAGCAATAGCGGTGCCCGAATGCGGTTTGGTGATGACTCACTAGCTTTTTTACATGAATGCCACCAATAAAGTACTTTATTGGGCTATGTAGTGACTGAATAGCCTACCCCCTGTGGTCTTTGAGTAGGTAAGCAGGTGGCCTTTGTAACTTGTGCCCAGCCGAAAGCCTATTTCCTGCCTCCTAAGTTTTCCTCTGGGCCTTGGGTTTGGGCCGACTTTCTCTCTGGCCCAAAGTTCAGATTTTATCCCAAACAGTGCCCCCTTCAATTGATGTTAAGGTTGGGATCCCAGGCGCCAATATTAATTGAAAGAGACCCCTGCTTTAAACCCTTAGAACTCTTAGAACCCTTGTGAGTGAACTTCTCTGTTCTCTGTGTTTCGTAAAAAGAAAACCTTCTCTGATACAACAAAACTTCCCAATTCTTCCATCATTTCTTTCTCGTTGTCCGACGAGGTTGCATCTTTACCGTTCTCCTTGTTTTTCTTCCCCACGGCCTTCATTAAATGGCCTCAGGATCCGGCCAAACCCTACCATCCTACGAGTCTGGTGAAGGAATTGCCACTCTACGCCGTCTGCTCAACGGGCTGCATCGTCCGCGGGCAGGTCTGCATTCTGAACTCTTCTTTGAGATGCATGGGGTTCAATCTTTGGGTCCTGCCTGGATTTCTCGGGTTCCCTCAGTAGTAGAAAGTAATATGCCTAGGGGAAACTGGTTTACCCCAAATCCTTATTTGGCCGACTCGGGCATTTCTTCATCTAAGTGGTCTTTTCATCGTCGAGGCTTTCCCTTGATGAATGATCTTGCCTGGGCCCAGTGGATTGACGAATTGGAACCTTCCTTTAAGCAGAAATGGATGAGTAACGGCATCTACGAACTGATTATGCTTTCGAAGATTTCAATTACCCCTAAGCCCGAATTGCTTGCTTCTGCCCTCCTCTTTTGGAATACGGGCACAAACACCTTCGATTTCCGTATGGGTCCCATGTCTCCCACCATTCTTGATATGGCCCAAGTCTTCGGGTTGAGGCCATCGGGCAGGGTGATAGATGTTACTCAAGATTGGATTCCATCCTCTACCACCGGGGGCTCAAGTTCTTCCACCTACTTCCTTCCTCTTAGCTATAACTCAGTTACTTTCAAAAGTTATGGGACCTCCTTTAAAGGATTCATCCCTTTTGTCAAGAAGAACTTCGGGGCAGGCTCTCCTCAAGCCGACAAAGATCAAGAGCATATGTACTTTCTTCTTTACTGGCTTAACAAGCACGTCTTCCCCAACAAATCCAAGGGGGTACGGGTAGAATGGATCCCCTTGGTAGAGGTTCTTCACAATTTTGATGACGTTGCCACATGTCCATTCCTTCTCTCCCATCTCTATCACCTTCTTTTTGACATGACCCGGGATGAGCCCTTTGAGACCAATTTGAACGGCCCCATCTGGATGATACAGATTTGGCTACAATGGTATTTTCCAGAATTTCGGGCTATCAATCTAGAGTTTCCAGAGGGTGTGGCTCCTGCCCGAATCATGGCTGAAGCTCCTCCTGTAGATCATTCCACCTTTGCATGCTTCTACTTTTTCCGAGTCTGCAGGACTCGGTCAGACTTGGAATGGGGTGCATCGGTCTTGAGGAGATATCCTTGGTTTCTGACCAAGCCTTCCAAGATGCCCCTGGTGAGGATGCTGCTCCCTTCTGCAGGGAAAAGTTTATCAGCTGTATTCAGCCAAGAGACTTGGCCTGGGGGTCCGGGGAAATCGGTATGATCGAGGCTTGGAGGTGTATCATCCTAACTTCTGCAGCAGGCAGTTAGGATTTAGGCAATCCATACCTGTCCCATTCTTCGACTCCATCCATTGTGGCACTTCATTTCGGTTACAGACTCCTTCTGAAGCAATATTTTGAGCTGCCCGCCGTAGTTTGGACGTGATGAGCCAAGCAGCCCGACATTCCGTTGTTCTTAATTTCGAATGTACCTCGCTGTTTTCTTCTTGGTGGGAGGAAAGGTGGACTAGAAAATACGGAGGAGATTTGAAAGTGAACCACGATCGTATTTTCAGCCAGCTTTCTCTTAAATCATATCTTAGCTCGGGCGAGCTTGCAAATTGGAAAGATATGATCCAAGAGAAAAACCGATTACTCCTAATAGGTGACTTTCTTCCCATCCAATTTTGCTTTCCTTGTTGTTTACTTTCCTCACTCTTACCTGTTTCTGCAGCTTCAGTTGATACTGAATCCGAAGCCATCGAATCAGAGAATGATTCTGCTGATGCCGCAGTTCTTCATGGTGCTGCAGCAGAAGCTGAAAGGCGGGAAGCCAGGGAAGGGACAGACGTCTCAG